CCCATAGTTGTTCCACAAAAAATAATCTAACCTAAAATGTATAGATTAAAATAATTAGCCTATTTACAGGATTTTTGATTTTTTTTTAAAATAAATTTACCTGATTATAGTTTTTTTTTTTTGATACTTGAAGTGGAAAAAAACTGCAATTCCAAATTTTTTTCCTTTAAATTTCATATAAATTCTGGAATGTGCTGGGAAAAAACATGCATATAAGGAGTGATGTCTTCTTTCCTATATAAACCTGGTATTTGTGATGATGAATTAATTTGTCCTTGACTTGGTCGACAAAATAATTTAATCCATTGTTTTACCTTATTTTCAAAATTATCAATTTCAGAATTTGTTAGATTAGGACTTCTTAAAACTAAGTATAGATCGTAAAAATCATGCCATAACTTCTGAATATTTTTACCGCGTTTTTCTGGAATAAAATTAATAATAGGAAAATATTGTAAAACTTTTTTCTTATCAGGTCCCATTAACGAAGTCCAATCCCACTTGCCACCACTTGATCTTGACTTAAAAAATTCAAAATGAATTTTAATTGATTTCATGGTTTGTTCAATTTGATTTTTAATTTCTCGTTCAAATTCCCTTTTTTTGAATAGATCATTGAAAAAACATTCCATTAATACATCTGAAATACGCAATAATAGATGTAACTCATCTGGAATGTAATTTTTTTCTTTAATAACAGGAAATAGTGATGGTTTTTTTTTGACCTGTTAAATTTTAAAATTAGCATAAAATTAATTCAATAAAAATTATTTTGATAAATTTACACTTACTCTTTGTATTTTTATTAATTGTCCAGTGTAAATCCATATTCCAACGATCACTTGCTTCACAATCACAATATAGACAAAAATATTTTGAATTTGGTGTATTCAATCCCATTATATTGTACATAAATTTCCAGTCACCAGAAAAAAATAACTCAATTGGCCAATGTACATCATTAATGGTAATTCCATTTTTTTGAAGATCTTGAAGTTGATACTTGAATAGATTTCCAACTTTGGCTAATGTTTCATATTTTTCTTTGCCTATGTAAAGACAAATACTAATTCTTATTATTTAATAAATGTTCTAAAAAAATTTATAAAATTAATACTACCTATATTGATGATCTGGTTTTAATACTTCATCTCTTTCGTTTAACAAACAAATAGTTATTATCACATGATTCTACTTACGACCTACATTCCTTCTATCACCACCAAGTTTCAAATAAACTGTATTTTCTGGCTGAAGAGTTGGCGGGTTTGATTTATTCCAAATAGGAATAAATATTTAAAGAAGATTCCTAATAGATTGATAAATACCATTACCAATTTCCTGTTCATCAACCATGATTCCATCAGGATTACCTTGATGTTCTTCACCATCATCAACTGAAGTATAGGTTGTTGATTTAATTCTTTATCAAGATTAATTGTCCCAATTGGTATTTGCACATTAATTAATTTTGTAATTTCTATTCTCCTTTGTGCAACTTGATATTCACGTATCAGCCGTGCTTCTACAGCAGCAAGCTTTCGATATCCATCATGACCTAATAAAGCTTCATCACAGGCACGTACATAGGCATCTAATTTTAGATGATCTGATGAAAAATCGTATTTTATATTAATAATATGGTCTTCATATTCCAATTCCATATTACGCAAATGAATTGGCTTTCCAGAATCTGAAACCATCCGATGTTGTAAAATAAGTTGTTTAATTTTCTTGTGAGCATCTCTTCCAAATGATGCATATTGTCTATTTTGCTGTGATACTGATACTACTTCACTAAGTGCACAGGTCGAAAAGTGAAAAATCAGGCATCAATCAGTCACCAATCAGGCACCAATCAGTCACCAATCAGTCACCAATCAGTCACCAATCAGCTACCTGATTGGTGACCGATTGGTGCCTGATTTTTCACTTTTCGACCTGTGGTGGTCTCTTTCTTTTATCAATAACAGTAGTTTTTGCCATAGGTGATTCTTCAATTTCTCCTATTCGTTGTAAACGGCCGAATATCAAGCATGAAAAGATGATAAAATTCAACCACCAAATGTAATTTCCAAATACTAAGAATGAACAAATTGATTGCGAATTGGCGTAGATGGATAAATAATTAGCCGAAAAGGATAAACATTTAGGAAGAGTAATGGGAATCCCATAATTTTTATGAACTCAAATTCTTAGTGATATATAAACTAAGTGATATCTACAATGTTGATAAACATTTAGGAAGAGTAATGATCTACATGACGTAATATTCATCAAATAATTGACAAAGAACCAATAGGATAATTAGAGTCGATCA